CATTCCTTTCTTTTATTTCATCGGTCTCAAGTAAGATGTGACAACTGCAAGACTCTAGATCGTTTCCTTTATGTGCAGTGGGCTCTGTAGGTATTTCAATGGTTTCTTCCATCTTCGGAACTGGCTCGGATTTATCATTATCCATTCTTCCCGGCAGTGCAGCAATTTCTGCCGAGTTTTTAAACGAGCCGAACCCCTCATTCTTCTTTTCATCATATCTTGTATCAGGAGATGGCAAGGAGCATCGAGGCATGTTTTCAGCACTATCAATGTTCCTTTCTTGTTGCAGAGGCACTATAGTTTCGGGTTCAATCGGGTACAAGTCACTTGCAGTAGTCATATTCATATGATCGTCGTGGAGAACCACAAGTTCTTGATTAAATTTGGTTTCCTGCTCAGTTGAAGAGATGAACAGAGGAGATCCTAAATCAGTCACAAGATTCACAAGTTCTTGATCAACTTTGGTTTCCTGCACATTTCCTGACCGATCGATAGCGGTTTCTGCAACAATCGAATTCTCAACTTTTTGGTTTTCAGTTGAAGAACACGACAACGGAATTCGAGAGTCAGTCTCGATATTCAAAAGTTCTTGATTAATTTCGTGTTCCTGCTCGCTTCCTGACTGATGGATAGTAGTTTCTGCAACAAAAATTGTAAAAATAATTTGAAGAACATGAAGTAGAACAGGATTTCTCAAACAGAGACCAGTAAAATGAGATTGCAAAAAAAACAGGTCTCGTTCGCTCTCGTTACACTATTCGAAACTTAGCACGGCATTGCTGCATGAAGGACGAGTTTATCTAGCCTTCCCTTCAATGATTCAGAAGTTTTCTTTTTCCATTATTGTTGTAACCGTCCAAACCCACCGCTAACAGATATTGTCCGTTTTGGCCCATTACATATCGTCGTCGGCCTCACGGTTTTAAAACACGTCCACTAGGGAGAGGTTTCTACACCCTTATAAAGAATGTTTCGTTTCCTCTCCAACTGATGTGCATCTCACAATCCCCCCTCCTTGGGGACCCAGCATCCTAGATGGCATGCTTCGTTCCCCTCTCCAACCGATGTGGGATCTCACAATTCACCCCCTTGGGGACCCAATATTCTCGTTGGCATGCTTCGTTCCCCTCTCCAACCAATGTGAGATCTCACAATCCACCCCCTTAGGGATCTAACGTCCTCGCTAGCATGTTTCGTTCCCCTCTCCAACCAATGTGGAATCTCACAATCCAGCCCCTTGGGGACCAACGTCCTCGCTGGCATGCTTCATTCCACTCTCGGTTGTGGGATCTCACAATGGTGCAAACTATGGGTTTGGGCTGTTACAATTGCCCACTTCAAATATCTCATAAAAGCTGCTATTGTCGATCCTACAATGGCAATGAAAGATCACGAAACACATACGAAACTGGCTGACCATAAACAGCTAACAATATGACCAGACGAGCGAAAAAGAACGAAGATAAATTGTCCCGAACATTAAACTTACCAAGGACTTCTGTGTCATTCGTAGCTCGGGAGCTATTCATTTCATCCTCTGCCACCATCTTCGACGTGCTTTCCGAATTCAAAGCATCTCCCATGGATTTGTTTGGTCCTATGCCCTCTGAAAACTCTGCAACAGCATCTGAAAACACCTGATCTTTGTATTCCTTCGGTTTTGTTTTCGTTCCATCGACACCTTTGTCACTGCAACTCCCTCCCAGTACTTCTAGACCTAGCAGCATTTACTGACATAATTAAAAACATCTGAAGGCACAGCAGCTTTCATTACCACAGGCCCCTCTTTTCCAACACAAAAAAGACAGAGAAAGAGACATAAGTGTAACTTAAGAATCCATAGCATAACTTTTTAGCTTTAAATCCAATTTTGCCCCTGAACTCCTACTCTATACCCAAGCCCACCGCTAACAAATACCGTCCTTTTTGGACTTTCTCTTAACGTTTTTAAAACGTATCTACTAGAGAGAGTTTTCCACACCCTTATAAAGAATGCTTCGGTCTCTCATAGTCCACCCCCTTCGGGGCCTAGCATCCTCGCTAGCATTTGTTCCCTTCTTCAATCGATGTGGAACCTCCCAATCCACTCCTCTTCGAGGCCCAGCATCCTTGCTTGTACACCGTCTTGTGTCCACCCTCCTTCAGGGCTCAGCCACCTTGCTGGCATATCACCTAGTGTCCGGCTCTAATTCCATTTGTAACAACTCAAACCCACCACTAGCAGATATTGTCCTCTTTGAGCTTTCCTTTTTGGGCTTCCCTACTAAGACGCGTCTGCTAGGAAGAAGTTTCCACACCCTTATAAAGAATGTTTCATTCTCCTCCCCAACCGATGTGGGATCTGACATACTCCGTTCCATACCCTCAACTTTTATCCCTATATTTCCCCAGTTATTTCAATCCTTATCATTAATTTTCACAAATCATTTAACAAGAACATAAAGGAACACCCAACCTGCTAATTCTCCCAGTTGACCACTGATGCCATGTTTCCATTAAACAACTCACAGAAGATTAACAACAAGCACTAGAATTGCTCTTTATCCAAAGTTCAAGACAATCAAACAAGACTTTGAAAGCCCAGAAAGCAAAAAAAAGAACAAACAAGAAAGCGCAGATAGCAAAATTATAAAGAATACGGCGTATGGAAGAGAATTCTCACTGGAACTATTATGATGGCCATCATTATCTGAAACAGCCAAAAGGGTATTAGCCTCAGACTCAACCAGCTTGAACCCTTCAATGGTTCCACAAACCCTCTTGTGAGCACGCCTACGTTTGGCACTCGGATGAGAGCTAGAAAAGGGCCATCCACATTTGTTGCAAACATGAACTCCATGGCTCTCCTGCCCTACAAAACCCAACAAAACCCTTAATCAAAAACAAACCCAACAACTAATTTCCAAAACCCACAAAAACCCAAATGCCCAAATCCATTATGAACCCCCAAAATGAACACAAATCACCAAGCAAGCCAAGATTTCACCGCCAATTTCAAGAACAAACCCCAAAATTCTAAAGGGAATTGACTACTTACTCTGATCTCGATGCTCCATTTCTGAAAGCGAGAGAAGATCCGAAGAAGAAGCAAAACGAAGAGATTAAAAAGAGGGAGAATCATTCATTTGGGAAAATGGGAATTCATTAATTCATTCACTATATTTGTTTCGAAAGGGTTGAAAAAAGGAAAGGGAAACAGGGGGCAATGGAGAAAAGTCCAGAAGTGGGGTTTTGAGAAAAGGGGTTGCGGGCCTTGCGGTCAGTGCAAACAGTGAAGAAGAAACTAGCGCCTGCGACGGCTTACGCTGTGTAGCCCTCCATGTGCTTGTTCTCAACCTTCATTTCATACCATTACAAAGGGCAAAGGCTACCGCACTGACGTTTTGCTGTGGAGGAGTGATTGTGTGTATCCAAGCGTATGGAAGGGATTGTGGAATCGTCTTCTCGAAGGGGTCACGTTTGTCTGGAAGTACAGCCGTACGTGTGCGTGATTTTGTTGTCCGTACAACGACATGACCACCTAACCACCGCCACGGTAAGTATCTTCGTTTCTTAAAAAAAAAAATTATATATATATATAAATTAATAAAAATAACTTAATTAAAAAATATTTCAATAATACCTTGAAATTTTATTTTAATTTATATTTAATTATTTTATTGAAACGTTTAGAATTATAAAAAACATTTTTTAAAATTTTGATTTTTGGTTTAAATATATATTTTTTACTGAAATTTTTTAAAATTATAATTTTTTTTATATTGTTTAATTTCTAAAAAAATAAATTTAGAAAAAAGACAAGCGGGAATCATTGATTTGGTTGGAAACATTACTGTTTTGTCGAATCACATGTGACCGTGAGGCGACAAAGGTCCCCACCAGGGGACAAAAGCTTTGTTATTTATCTATTTATTAATTTCCATTAAAAGTGATTTTCTATTATTATTATCATTATTTTAATGATGATTCTTATGAAACCTTTGACAAATCTCACCAAACAACACCTCACGTGACAAAGATGTTTTTGGATTATAAAGCTATTTTTAGAAATTTTTAACCTATAAATAATAACTTTCTTTTATTTTTATTTTGTACCAAAATTCCAATTAATTGAATTTTGAAAGAAAAGAAAAATGTAAGGGTATCGTAACACCCGAGTAAATGAGAAGTACATAAAAAAATCGAGACCCGAGAGTCATACTGAGGATAGGATGACTAAGAAAGACTTAAAAGAATTGAAAGTTACTATCTATACAAAAATGTGCATCGTCCCGGTAGATTTGGTTTGGGCCTAACTAAGTAGGCTTAAAGCTTGTTGGGCCTAGGCCCAACTCTTCTAAACACATCTTTCCTAGGCTTAGGCCTTGGACTATTAAAGGGCCTAATATTTGGGCTTAATGCAAAAAACGATCCTTTTGGGCCAAGTTAACCATCCACACAAGTCCAATTTCTTCAACTTATTTCCTAAGAAATAAAAACTAGAAAACTTCACAATTTTATATATTTTAAATATATTATAGACAAATGGATTTTAAGCTCCAAAATGTTTGGATTTGGATTATGAACTTATTTTCAGGTTGGTCGATTAGTTGGACTGACTCAACTAAAATAATGTTAACTCCTAAACTGAATAGAATTATCAATTTTTTTAAAAAATTACCCAATCTATACTGGAAAAAAATCTAACTCAACCAAAATTTTATGGTTTTAGTCGAATATATGTGTTGAGATGATAATACATCTACTAATTTAAAGAATGATCCTGAGTTTATAATAAAAAAGAACTGATTGTGTTGGATGATGAAAGTCCCAATTAATTTAGGGAATGATCATGTGTTATAATCTAAGAATACACTCTTGAGGCCTTTTGGGGAGCCGAAAGCAAAGTGATGAGAGTTTATGCTCAGAGTGGACAATATCAGTGGAGAGTCGTGTTAGTCTAACAACTAGAAGTCGTCTTCCTCCTTCCACCACGGAGAAAATGCGGTTCCACGCCAGTGAGAAAACCAAGCTCTGCACCTCGTCAAAGCCATTCTTCGCGATGTCGATCAAGCGAAGTCCGATCGAGAATCGTTCATGATTTGGGTCGCTAAGCTTCAGGGTTTAGCTATCGATGCCGAAGTTGTAATGGAAGAGCTCTCCTACGAGAATCTTAGGCGCCAAATTGACGTCAATGGAAATCCCAAGAAAATGGTATGTGATTTCTTTTCATTCTCTAATCCCTTGTTGTTTAGGTTGAAAATGGCTCATAAAATTAAAACCATTACCCAAATTTTGAATGAGATTACTGGGGAGGCAAGTGCTGTGGGGGTTGTTGCTAAAGTGAATGAAAGGGTAACGAGTGCTAATAATGGGCAAATTCCAGAGACTGACTCATTTCTTGATGAGTTTGAGATTGTAGGAAGAGGGGTTGATATATCAAGAATAGTGAGCATAGTTCTTGACACTACCACACACGACAGGATCTCTGTCCTTCCTATTGTCGGGATGGGTGGTCTTGGAAAGACAACAGTGGCAAAAGCAGTCTTTAATCATGAGCTTGTGGAAGCTCATTTTGATGAAACAATTTGGGTGTGCGTGACTGCAAGTTTTGATGAGAAGAAGATTTTAAGAGCAATTTTGGAATCTCTTACGAACTTTCCAAGTGGTTTGGATAGTATGGATGCTATACTTAGAAGATTACAAAAGGAGCTGGAAGGGAAGAGGTATTTTCTTGTGCTGGATGATGTATGGAATGAAAATTTTGAACTGTGGAATAATTTGATGAGTCTTTTGTTAAAGATTACAAATAGTGTTGGGAATAGAATTCTTGTGACAACTCGGAGTGAAGAAGCTGGAAAAGTCGTGAAGACGTTTCCCATTTATCGTTTAGCTAAGTTATCAGACGATGAATGCTGGTTGATATTCAAGGAAAGAGCGTCCCCAAATGGTCTACCACTGACTCAAGAGCTGGAAGTTATGAAGAATGTGCTTGCTGAGCAGTTTGGAGGCATTCCATTGGTTGCGAAAGTCGTCGGAGGATCCGTACAAGTTAAGACAAGAAGAGAGACTTTGTTGATGTCAACATTGGAAACCCTGATTATGAATCCGCTACATAATGAAAACGATATCTTGTCTATCTTGAGATTAAGCGTGGATCATTTGCCGAACTCGTCGTTGAAACAATGTTTTGCATATTTTTCAAATTTTCCGAAGGGATATAACTTTGAAAAGGAACAACTAATCCAATGCTGGATGGCTGAAGGGTTCATTCAACCTTCTGATCAAGCAGGCTATGAAACCATGGAAGATATAGGAGACAAGTACTTCAATATCTTACTAGCTCATTCCTTATTTCAAGATATTGTCAAAGATGAGAATGGTAAAATCACTCACTGTAAGATGCATCATCTTCTTCATGATCTTGCATATTCTATCTCAAAATGTGCAGCATGTGGTTCAGATGTTATTGGTTTAAATGATAGCGTTTCTCAAATTCGACAATTATCCTTGATTGGCTGTGAGAATAATATACCTTTGCCTTCTATAAGGAGTATGCGGAACTTACGTTCTTTGTTCTTGGACAGAGATGTCTTTGGCCACGAGATTTTAAGTTTCAAGCGCTTGTGTGTTCTAAACATATCGCGATGTGAAATCTGTAGCTTGCCAACGTCAATCGGAAGGTTAAAGCATCTACGGTATCTAGACGTTTCAAATAATATGATAAAGGAACTTCCAAAATCTATTGTTAAGCTTTACAAATTGCAGACCCTGAGGCTTGGTTGTTTCCATGGAGAAGCCCCCAAGAACTTCAGGAAACTGATCAGCTTGAGACATTTCTATATGGATATTAAAAGACCAACAAGTAGGCACATGCCTCGTTATCTAGGTAGGTTGGTTGATCTTCAATCCTTGCCTTTTTTTGTTTTTGGCATGGACAAGGCTCTCATATAGAAGAGCTTGGATATCTGAGCCATCTCAGAGGAACATTAAGGCTTTACAATCTTGAGTTTGTCAGAAATATGGGGGAAGCCATGACAGCAAAGTTGGTGAAAAAGGAAAAAGTGTACAAATTGAAACTATTATGGAGTGATCAAAGAGAAGTTAGTGATGACCATGACACTGCTGTTTTAGAAGGACTTCAACCACACAAAAATCTCCAATACTTGAAACTTGAAAACTTTATGAGAGAACTCTTTCCAAATCTTACTTTTGTTGAAAATTTAGTGAGGATTTCTCTGAAAAACTGTAGCAGGTGTAGAAGAATCCCGACATTCGGACATTTGCGTAATCTTAAAGTTCTTGAGATTTCTGGATTGCATAACTTAAAAAGTATAGGGACTGAGTTCTATGGAAATGAAAATGAAAGGAGAAGTTTGTTTCCAAAGCTGAAAAGATTTGATCTTCTGGACATGGAGAATCTGGGACGTTGGGACGAGGCAGCAGTTCCGTCACACGTTGCGGTTTTCCCTTGTATTGAAGAGTTAAAAATTCTTGACTGTCCGAGATTACAAATTGTCCCTGATTACTTCTTGACTCTCAGGACGTTAGAAATCAACGATGTTAACAACCCAGTTTCGCAGAACACTCTGCAGACATTTAAGCTACTTGGCATAATACACTCAGGCAGTCTGAGTGGTTTGCCTGAGGAGCTATGTGGTAATCTGTCATCTCTCGAGGAGTTTAAGGTTTGGTAATTACCTTCACTTGGAATCCTTTCCGACCATTGACTGGCTCACTGATCTTCTGAAATGCAAGATTGGATATGACACAAAATGGACAAGTAATCAAGCTGATGAGCTAGAATCATACATGTCTGTAAATGAATTGTCGATTGTCGGCTACCACGATCTAACGTCGACCCCGGATATAAAAGCATTGCAGAATCTTTCATCTTTGACGATCACTGGCTTGAAGAACTTGCCGAAAGGATTTCACTGCCTGACTTGCCTGAAAAGTTTGTCAATTGGTTGGTTCATGGAAGGGTTTGATTTTAGGCCTCTTTTACACCTTGAGTCTCTTGAAAATCTAGCATTGATAGACTTTGGCAGTGCAGAAAGCACACTTCCAGGCGAACTTCAGCACCTCACTGGCTTAAAGCATTTGAAAATTGTTGGCTTTCAAGGCATTGAATCTCTACCAGAGTAGTTTGGAAATCTTACCTCATTGGAAACTTTGCACCTTGAAAGTTGCAGAAATTTGAGAGATCTTCCAGAAGCTATGGGTTGCCTTGCCAAATTGGAAGAACTGCGCAGTTTCAATTGCCATGAGCTCAGGCTTCGCCAAGAAGAATCAGAATGGTCCAAGATTTCGCACGTTTTGAGATTCATATCGTTCAATTATTGGGTCGATGAGTAAGTAAAAGATTACTGTGGTTCCAAATTATACACACACCATGAACTTAGGAGCACAAATATGAACACGCGCACGGATACCACTCGACACAGACATGGCGACGTGCTAAGTATGTGGGTGAAATCTAACTTGCTGCTTTGATAATAGGGACCAACAGAGGGTTCAATTCAAAGTCTGTCACAAGCCTAGCTAATGACTCATGTCAGGGATGATATGAACCTAGACATCTTAATCATGCAATATTAGTAAATGAGTCGTGCAGCTGCCGAGCTCTTTGGTTGATTCATGCCATGCATGTTGTGACGAACAAAGTGGCTACATGAACTCATAAAGGTACCTCTTCATCTCAGGTATTTTGTCTGTTTTGAAGTTTTATACTTAAAACTTAATGATATAAATTATTTTTTATTCTAGATTTTGATCAATAAATGAGTAATATATTAAGATATTAGATAGAGAAAGAGGCTTGAAAGCCCAACCTCCTCGCTGGCACACCACCCAGTGTTTGACTCTCCTTGGTTCGTTATGTATTGTCGTCAGCCTCACGGTTTTAAAACATGTCCGTTAAGAAGAGATTTCCATACTCTTAAGGAATGCTTCGTTCTCATTTCCAACTGATATGGGATCTCACATGATCAATGGTATCCCTGTATAGATAATGAAAAATGATCAATATACCTGTTTAGAAAATGAAGAAAAGGGTGACAAAAAAATTGAAACGTACATCTTGGTCGTGATTTGTATGATCCATTTAGTATAATAAGAAATAATGAAAGAACAAAAAGAAAACCTCTCACCTTCACATCTTTAATTTGGTTTTAGCATTCATGATCTTTGTCTTTTGGTTTAAGAAAACGACATTCCCTTTGTCACTTTGATCCATATTGTGTTCTTGTTGGTTTTTAATTTTTCAAAAGAATATGACTTTCCTTTCCTATTTAGTCATCATCTTTACTCTTCCATCCTTTCCTCTCCTTTTAAAAGCTCACCAAAACCCACTCATAATCCCCCATGTTTAACACCACAAGTTCTAGCGATGCCAACTTTTTCTCTCAATTTCGTCCTTCTACTTTCTCTCATTTTCATCTCGGGTACGCGACTTTCTTTTACTTTGTTCTTTAGTCCCTAGTTCGTTTTCTTTAATGGGTCTCTTTAATTTTATTTTTGAAATAGATTTCCCACTTCGGGGTGAGGAGTTCGAACCTCAGAACTCTTAGGTAAGGGTGTTCGTGGGTTGAGTTGAGTCAGGTTGAGACATTTTTTTTAATCCAAACAACCTTTATTAAAGTATGAACCCAACCCAAAGCAACCATAAATTCTTTGGGTTTGGTTGGTTTTCATTTATTTGAATAAAACCCAACTCAAATAAGTTCATAACTGTGAGAGTCCCACATTGATTGAAGAAAATAATGAAACACCCTTTATAAAATAAGAGTGTAGAAACTTTTCCCTAGTAGACGCGTTTGTGCCGTTATAAATGATATCAGAGCTAGACATCGGACAATGTGCTAGCGAGGAGGCTGTTCCCCGAAGGGGGTAGACACGAGGCAGTGTGCCAGTAAAGACGCTGAGCCCCGAAGAGGGTGGATTGTGAGAGTCCCACATTGGTTAGGGAGGAGAACGAAACCCCCTTTAGAAGGGTGTGGAAACATTTCCTTAGTAGATCCCAAAAGGGGGTAGATTGTTAGATCCCACATCGGTTGGGGGAGAACGTTATAATCCCAAGCAAAACTCGTATATAAATTTAATTTAATCCCATTTATAGTCTCTTTATTGCACCTTGTGTAAAGTTTTTGAGTCTTCATATAGGCGCAGAGATTTCAAGCAAGATAGGTATCAACTATGGCCAACTTGGGAGCAACCTTCCACCTCCAAGCCTCGCCATTGAAATGATCAAATCCATGAAAGCCGGCCGAGTGAAGCTTTATGATGCCAACCATGAAATCTTGAGACTTTTATCAGGAACAAACCTTCAAGTCTCCATTATGATACCCAACAATGAAATTTCAGACATTGCCAACAACCAGACAAGATCAGATGAATGGATCCTAAACAACGTTGTTCCCTTTTATCCTGATACCATGATTCGGTTCATTCTTGTCGGCAATGAAGTTCTGAGCTATGCATCTGATAGGGATCGCCATGTTTGGACTGACCTTGTGCCTGCCATGAGAAGGGTTTGGCAATCCCTCAAAGCTCAGAACTTGCAGATCATTAGAGTTGGAACTCCGGTGGCTATGGACGTTTTGGAGACGTCATTTCCGCCGTCTACTGGGACGTTTAGATCGGATATTCAACGTACTGTGGTGGCTCCAATGCTGGAGTTCTTGAATGAAACGAGGTTAGTTTATGCTAATAGATAACCTATAAGAAGTGAGTGAAGTGAGACGGAGTGGGGATTCGGCAGGGTCAAGAGCGAGGACGGAGACGGAGAATATAATCCCTGTCCTTGTCTCCTTTTAGCTAACGAAAAAAAGTTCCTCCCCATTCCCTCTCTCATTTTCTCGTTCAAATGAGACTCTCCACCTAGTTCGAATCAGGTTTGACTTTCTCCATCCAGTCTGGAGCGGATTCTACTTTGGCCCCGATTAAATAGGCATCCATACTAATAATACAAAGAAATTGATACTTACATCTTGACAGGTCTTTCTTCTTCGTGGATGCATATCCATATTTTCCATGGTCAGCAAACCCCATGGATATCAACTTGGATTTTGCCCTTTTCAATGGAAACTTTGAACAGATCGATGGGGGAAGTGGGTTGGTCTATACTAATCTTTTGGACGAAATGCTAGACTCTCTTATATTTGCCATGACAAAACTTGGCTACTCGGATATTCGCCTCGTGATATCGGAGACCGGGTGGCCAACCACCGGTGATATCGAACAGCCAGGTGCTAAGCTATCACTCAACTCAAAAGTTTTAACCAATCCTAGTTTGTAACATATTTAATCATTTATCAATAATTAGGCGCGAATCTCCCCAACGCAGCAATGTATAATCGAAATCTAGTAAAGAGGATAGTGGCAAAGCCTACAATTGGGACACCAGCGAGACCAGGGGTGGTTATACCGACGTTCATATTTGCTCTCTTCGACGAGAACCAAAAGTCAGGGCCGGGGACGGAGCGACATTGGGGGCTATTGAGCTCGGACGGGAGTCCAAACTACGACATCGACTTGACGGGAAGGAAGTCATCGGTAGAGTACGATCCGATACCTGTGGTGGAGAACAATGTGCCATTTAGAGGAAGGTTATGGTGTGTGGCAGCGAGAGGAGTGGATTTGATGGAGCTCGGGGCAGCAGTGACCGACGTGTGCAACGGAGGAGACGGAATATGCGAGGAGCTGATGCCAGGGAGGGAGTGTTATGAGCCAGTATCAGTGCATTGGCATGCCAGCTATGCTTTCAGCTCATATTGGGCGAGGTTTAGGAGCCAAGGAGGAAGCTGCTATTTCAATGGACTAGCTGAAGAGACAACTATTGATCCTAGTGAGTTAAAAATTGTCTCCTTTCTGTCTCTAAATTCATGTCTTGTCTCTAATATTGTCTCAAAACTTTGGCAGGTAGTGGTCTATGCAGGTTCCCAAGTGTGATATTCTAAACAATATTTATTTATTATTATTTTTTTTTTCATTTTTTCCCTAAGGGAGAGATTTGCATAGTCAATTTTATATTTAGGAGACTTATTTTTGGAACAATTTTTGTATCTTTTTTTCTATGCCTTTCAAATTAATAAAGGAAAAAAAATGCACATTGGATATTCATTTTTCAAATTTTATGAAAAGCCCATATTATTTTAAAGAATAATTTTCATGTCAAATGATAATTGTCGGACGAATTGTTAGCAAGTACATGGCAAACCCGAAAAAGAAAATTTGGAAGTTATATATAGTGGCTAGCAAGTACATGACAAACTCGAGAAAGAACATTTTGAAGCTATATATAGTGGCTAGCAAGTACATGACAAACTCGAGAAAGAACATTTTGAAGCTATATATAGTGGCTAGCAAGTACATGACAAACTCGAGAAAGAACATTTTGAAGCTATATATAGTGGCTAGCAAGTACATGACAAACTCGAGAAAGAACATTTTGAAGCTATATATAGTGGCTAGCAAGTACATGACAAACCCGAGAAAGAACGTAGGGAAGCTGTATAGTGGCTAGCAAGTACATGACAAACCCAAGAAAGAACATAAAGAAGCTATATAGTGGCTAGCAAGTACATGACAAACTCGAGAAAGAACATTGGCAAATACTTGACAAACCCGAAAAAGAACATTGGGAAGTTGTACCGTGGCTAGCAAGTACATGACAAACTCGAAAAAGAATATTGGGAAGTTGTACAGTGGCTAGTAAGTGGATGACAAACTCAAGAAAGAACATTGGAAAGTTTTACTGTAGCTAGCAAGTACATGACAATCCCGAGAAAGAACATTGGGAAGCTGTACAGTGATTAGTAAGTGCATGACAAACTCGAGAAAAAACATTGAGAAGTTGTATAATGACTAGCAAATGCATGACAAATCCAAGAAAGAACATTGTAAGGCTGTGAAGTGACTTTTGAGATATACAAGAAGTACATCTAGTACAAAAGTAAACAAATAAGTTTCAGTTCAAATCTTATCCTTATATGAAAATATTTATAAATAAAACGACAATATCATTACCATAAAACACAACCAAACATCGAAGCAAAACATAGCTATAATCGACAACATAGTAAAACATGATTTATTTATGTACCATCGTAGCGTGGAGAAACGTGGTGGTCATGCCACTTCATTGTCTTCCATAAGGTAAGCATCAATGTCTTTGGACATAGCAACACATAATTGAAGCAAGCCATGGGAGTCTGGAATCCCATCGTGCAATTTTTCATATTCTAAAGTCCAATGAACAACGCTTCCCTTCTCCTTTGGGATACATTGAAGCTTCAACTTGAAGCTCTTATATTGCTGCAAAAGGCATCCTTCAATGGCTGTGAAAGTGATAGAGTTGTTCTCTTCATCAACGGCTTCAATTATCTCTTTGCTTGCCACAACCTTCCCATCTACAAATTAAACTCATGTTACTGTTCCGTACACGAACTGGGTTGAAGAAATCTCGTCAACTAACTCTAAATTTCAGGTTGGGTGGGTTGGTAACCCGAGCCACCCATATACATTTCACAACCCAATTCAACTCAACCTTTTATTTTCGAGTTGGGTCGAATTGAATCGTACCATTAACATCATTTTGAAACATACTTAATATCATAATAGTCTTAAAAGTAGTGTAATGTAGGGTTGGGTTGTAGCATATTTTCAAGTTGGTTGGGTTAGTTGGTCAGGTTGACCTAACAAAAAAAGTACCAACCCACAAACTGACCTGAATTTTCGATTTTCGAAAATTTCAACCCAACCCAACTTTTACCGTTTAGGTTGGGTAGTCTGAGTTTGTTGGATTCTCGGGTCATATGATGAGTTGTAACATATTTTTGAGCTGGTTGGGTTGGTTGGTTGGTCAGGCTAACCTAACAAAAAAGATATCAACCCACGAACCAACCCAAATTTTCGATTTTCAAAATTTTAACCCAACCCAACTTTTATCATTTAGGTTGGGTAGTCTGAATTTGTTGGATTCTCGGGTCATATGATTGAGTTGTAACATACTTTTGAGTTGGTTGGGTTAGTTGTTTGGTCAGACTCACCTAACAAAAAAAAAAATATCAACCTACGAACTGATCCGAATTTTTGATTTTCAAAATTTCAACCAAACCCAACTTTTATCGTTTAAATTGGGTAGTCTGAGTTTGTTGGATTCTCGGGTCATATGATGAGTTGTAACATATTTTCGAGTTGGTTGGGTGGTCAGGCTGACCTAACAAAAAAAAAAAAACATCAACCCATGAACCGACCTGAATTTTCGATTTTAAAAAATTTCAACCCAACCCAACTTTTATCGTTTAGGTTGAGTAGTTTGAGTTCGTCAGATTCTCGAGTCACATGCACAGTCCTACCGAAAAGTGTAAAGAAAGTAAACATCGAAAAAATGATAAACCATGTGAATATCTCCAAATGACGATGGACCCGACTTTGCCCCATTCGCCTTCGAGTAGATCAACGCCATGTATTATGCCCCTAGAGAAATTGGAAATATGATGAGGCCTGTGGTGAAATATTTGATGAAACTTAGAAGCTGAAGCAGTGATTTCTACATCAGCCTCCACCTTTCCAAAGAGGTCCATGGTGTGCTTGGTTCTTGGAGTAATGCATTGCTAAACATGTCTCATTTATAGAGAGGGTTTGGTTGCATAGCCATGGATCCCATTAGGCTACGATTTTGATCAAAATATGAATTATTGTAGTGTCATCCTATTTGGTTATGTGAGTAGGAATTACGTGAAAAAAAATAATAATTTGGAGCGTTGGTTTTGACCACCGATCGAAGCTGGGAGATCCCGTATCAGTTGGCGGAACATTCCTTATAAGAGTGGAAACCTCTCCCTAATAGACGAGTTTTAAAATCATGAGGCTGACGACGATACGTAACGGACCAAAACAGACAATATCTGATAGCAATGAACTTGAGCTGTTACAAAAGCACACCGAACCTAGTAATCGAAGTAGAATGAAACATTCACAAAACACACTTCTGGAAGACAAGTACTACTTTTCATTTTCAAGTGACTAACGACTATTGGTTATCCTTAAGCGTTAGTCCTGTGTTAGGGGTTATATCTCGTTCCGTGGTCCCCATTTTTGTTATAATACTTTGATTTTGTCAAAATTTTACAGTATTTTCGTTATCAATTGTGTTAACAAAAGGAAGGAAGAGGAAGAAGAGACAACCCCGAACAGACAGAAGGAAAAAGCCACATCTTGCGACCCGCCACAGCAAACAATCGATTTGGGAAAGAAGAAGAAAGACCTGTTAGAACAAACATCCTATTGCTTTAAGTCGGTTGGTAGACCCAGGTTAAGGGGTATCTGGCGAATGCCCGGGACATAGCGCTCAGTCTTCCGCCAATTATGAATTATTTTTGTTTTAAATAAATCTCTGATAGTCGTTCAATTAAGTAAGAATATAATCGACGACGGATATCAATAATATGATTCTATTATTGGTAAAAATTAAATCGATATTAATTAGCTCCTCAATTATTATTGTAATTTGAATGGATTTTTATGCTATCAAAGTCGTTGTTGTCTGATTGCTTTTAGCTTATAACACTGCTTTCTTTCAAATTATTTTCAACGTATTTTCTCGCTCATGTTTTCTAAATCATTTCTCTCAAACGTGTCACGAGGCTCGAACATACGTTGATGTAATCCGCAAAGTCTGAATTTCTCACGAATGACTTATTTGATAGGTTATAACAAGTGCCGCACAGTTGTTGTCCAGCTGTTACTAGAGTACGATTGTGACAAGTAGTATCAGAATTCTAATTTTTTATTCTTTTTAATAAAATAACATGGAGAGTCGTAGAGTGCCGAGAAGACTAGATCAATGTCAAGCCCGAGAAACACAATAATCCTTATTATAACGTACATTTATTATTTTTTAGTACACACATATTCTTACAAACTTTATTCCCATTTCAAACATGATTCCAAACATGTCTCGATCATATTACACACACAAACAGATGATCTTATTTAAACATATCAACGTAGAAACGTGTCCAGATATCTTATTCTTAAGTACTCCGACTTACGCGCCACATGGTTTTTCATTACCGAGGAGATGAGCTTCGATGTCTTTCGAGATAGCAACACACAAATGAAGTAAACTATGTGAATCAGGAATTTTCTCGTGTCGCTTTTCATACTCGAAAATCCAATGAACCACGCTTCCCTTATCCTTTGGAATACACTGAATTGTAATTCTAAAGCTCTTATAATCCTTCAAAAGGTCTCCTTCTACGACTTTGAAACATATCTTATTGTTCTCCTCATCAACTGCTTCAACTACCTCCTTGGCTACTGAAGCCTTCCCACCTACGAGTTTAACAAACATCATTAAAGAAACATAGGAAAACTCGAAAACATCCTTAAAAAAACACAAACAAACACAATAACAAGAACAAACCATGACAATAGTTCCAGTAAATGATCGAGCCAACTTTGCCCCATTCGCCTTCTTGGAGCTGACAACCTTGGATTTTGTCTCCACACGCTTTGGAGATATGGTGAGGCTTTCGATGAAACATTTCATGGAACTTTGAAGCTGGGACCTTGATTTTTACATCAGTCTCTAATTTTCCACACAGACTCATGATGGTCGGATTTAAAAAAAACAAGAAACTTGAGACGAGAAAAAATAAGACGATGGATGATCAAGCTTGTCTCCTCGTACACTTAAATAGAGAAGGTTTAACTCTCACATGATATTATAATATTGAATACCATAACTTTTCATGATACTAATATTTTATTATATGATTTTGGACAAAAAAAAAAAAAAACTAGCTAATTTTTTTTTTTTTTGTGAATTTCAAATCATTTTTTTTGGAAATATTTTGATTTTACGAAATAGATAATCAAATTTGTTGTCTAATTTATTTTCGGATAAAGATGTTCTTAATAAATGTATTGATTTAGATGTTTGATTCTAATATTATGTCCGATTATTCGCTTGCCTAACTAAATATTAATTTTTTAATATAACATAAGATTAAAGTTATAACTTTATTATAGTATAAGATTAAAGGAGTGCTTTATCATATTATACCTTTAATAAAAATGTTATAAAATGTTTTCATAGCAATACAAAAACGTTACAAAATGTCTCAGACAAATAACGTCAGCTATTGAAACCTACGAAAACAGCTGTAAAATGTCTACTATAGCATTGTAGTATTTTCCTTTAACTATCGTATCTGTTATTTCTTGCAGTTCATCGTATTCAAATTATAATCGAGCACCTAATTGAATAGTGGCTAAACGATTACCTTACCACATCCTAGTGTGATGTTCGATCTTTGGAATCAGTTCGATACCCATATTCGATTTGTTATATTAAAATAAGTAATAGTGTAATATATACTTTTTTTTCTTTAGAACTTTAAAATAACATTAAAAAATATAAAACATTTCATAAAGTTTTTTCTTTTCATAAGCATCCATTTGACTATTATAAAAATAAGGCCATTCTTTATTTTTATTTTTATAATAAATTTTTTTGTTCAAAACTTATCTAGGGGGAGATTGACCGAGCACGAGTTGGCTAATGGGCCAATAATATAACAGGTGTTCGTGAACGATATAATCGAATAAAGAGATTGATATCATAATTTTTTTTTGAAGAACTAAAATAGAAGAACTTGTGTTCATTAGACTGTACATCTTGTTTTTGTATGTTCGAGTAATAGGTAGGAGCATAGATTGTGTGAGATCCAGCGTCGGTTGGAAAGAGGAATAAAACATACCTTATAAGTGTGTGGAAACCTCTCCCTAATATATGCGTTTTAAAACCGTGAGGCTGACGATGATACGTAATATACTTCATAAAACATGTATGTTAGAGAGAGGTTTCTAAACTGTAAGGAATGCTTCGCTTCGTTCCACTCTCCAACCAATGTGGAACCTCACAGTTCACCAAAATCTCGATTATAGAGTCATTATCAAACTCAACCATACAAAATCTCGTTACTTTGAGCAGGTTCTTGCCATATACACCCGATCAACTTAGATAAACTAAAAAATGTGAACATCGAAAGCAAGATGTAGACCTTGCTCGTTTTGGTTCTACTTATGTGGGGACCAAAAAACAAGAAACTTTTCTACAATATTATCCTTCATTTTCTTTTATGGTGCTAATAAATATCGAACCTTCAATATTTTTCTTTTATGTGATATCATTTAATAATATTTTATTTGAAAATTTGAGATGAGATCGTTTGAGATTTCATATTGGTTGGAGACGGGAACGAAACATTTCTTATAAGAGTGTTGAAACCTTGCCGACGATACGTAACGGGCTAAAACGGATAATATCTACTGGCGATGGGTTTAGGTTGTTGCAAATGATATAAGAACAAGACATTATGCAATGTGCGAGCGAGAACGCTGACCCCCAAGGAGCTGGATTATATAAGAGTGTGAAAACCATGGAGCGATACGTAATAGGTAAACAGAAAACGGACAATATCTACTAGCGCTAGACTTGTCTTTCTATATCCAAATAAATTTAAGTTAAATATAATAAATCGAAAATATTTAATTATTTGATTATATATATATATATATATATATATTTTTTTTTTTTTTTTTTTTTTTTTTTTTTTTTTTTTTTTTTTTTTTTTTTTTTTTTTTTTTTTTTTTTTTTTTTTTTTTTTTTTTTTTTTTTTTTTTGTCTTTTTAATATTTGAATATTAAGATCGGATCATCTATGGTTTCATTTAAAAATATAATATATATTTGACTTTTATAATTGTATTTAATATAATATTTGAAATTGAGTTAAATTTTATTGTAAAAAAATACAAATAAAAAATAAAAAATAAAAAAAATGTAGCATTTATTGTAATATTATGTGTGCCCATCTTGAACTGAGTGCCCATAATATTTTTGCTGACAACTCTTTATGGCTGATACATAATAGGCTAAATCGGGATGATTGATATATAATAAGCTAAATCGGACAATATCTGCTAGTGATGAGATACTCGATTATCCTACCTCCGAGTAGGTCGCGAGCTAGTTGACCTAGCTCTAAAGGCTTTAGGATCCTTGATTTAAGTTACATTACACGTAAAGAACGACGAGGAGGGTTGTTGATTGTACCGTTGGCCTAGATCTCGTTATTTTATTTTGATTCCACATTTATTAGTTTTTTTCGGTAACGGTGAATTGTATTCGTTTTTAGATGTTTTAGAACTTATTTGTTTTGACGGTATTTAAAAATGTTTTAGAGTAAGATCTCGAGCAAGCTTAATTTAAATATTGTTTTTTAATGATTTAAGTTAAGAAAATCGAATTGTTACATAGATTAGAACACTATTTGTAAACTTTCAAATATTTAATTTACCATCGACATTTTTACATGAACTTTATTCTCATTTCATCTCATACACGACAGTATTTCACAATAACTCTCACACTCACTATTGCAAACATGTCTTAAGCATATCGCACGAACAAACAGATATCATTCAAACATAGAATTACGAACATAAATAGATAGATAGATAGATAGAACAAGTCAATTGATACTTCATAACACACCCGAAACCGAGAAACGTTGTGTTCATGCCTGAGCAGTAGCAGTGACTTCAGCTTGAGCTACTGGTTCTTTGTCATCCTCCATGAGATGAGCTTCAATGTCTTTCGAGACATCGACACAGAATTGAAGCAAGCTATGTGAATCAGGAACCTCATCGTGTAGCTTTTCATATTCCAAAGTCCAATGAATCACACTTCCCTTATCCTCCTTTGGAAGACAATGGATCGTTAACTTAAAGCTTTTATACGCTTCCAAAAGATCTCCTTCTACGACTTTAAACGAGATCATATTGTTCTCTTCATCGACCGCTTCGATTATCTCCTTCGCTACGCAAGACTTCCCATCTACGAGTTTAATAAATATTAATGAAATGAGTTAAGAATCCTTAAAAAGAACAATAACAAGAACAAGAACAAGAACAAACCGTGAACATAGTTCCAGTGAACAATGGAGCCAACTTTTCCCCATTCACCTTCGTGAATCTCGCAGCCTTGGATTTTGTCGCTCGAAACATTGGAGATATGGTGAGGCCTTTGGTGAAAGATTTCGTGGAACTTTGAAGCGGGAGCTTCGATTTCGACATCAGTTTCCAACTTTCCAAAGAGAGTCATGATGATCGGATCTTGAAAACTAACAAGTTTGAGATGATGAACGACCAAATATGTTCCCTCTAACACTTATTTAAGGACAAGGGTTGATCTTGAACTACGATGCATTTATTGGATGACATGTGATGATTGTCAGGTGTGGATTTTACATTTTCGTCCCATGCTTGAATTTTTCAAAATTAGTTAAATTTTATGAGATATATTATATTATGAAACCGACATTTAACCGATAAACTAAATTAATAAAAATATCGTGAATCGCTAACTTTCAAAAGTTTCAATAATACATTTAAATATTTTTTAATAAATACTTTCACTATCACTTTTAAAAGTATTTTAAAAATATTAAAAAATTCCATTAATACTTAATTTTTAAAAAAAAAAAAAAACTTCAAAAAAACATATTTAACCATTTTTAAAAACTTAAAAAATACCTGTAATATAAATAAAAAATAAAAAAAATACTCTTAAAACGTTAATATTTTATTTCAAAAATGCTCTTGAAACCTCAGAAGTGACATTAAAAAATTGGTAGATAATCTATGAGGTGTCGTTGATGTACGATTTTCATCTATATATGATCGGTAATTTTTTTGAACTATTTTTTAAACGAAGTATTAAGGGTAAGAGTATTTTGAATTTTTTTTAATCATAAGTTACGTTAAATCTTCGTAATCTATTTAAAAGTAGGATAAAGTTGTATTGGATAGTAACCCGAGTTGGTTAGGTCAACTGTAACTTGCAAACTAAATCGAATTTTTTAATTTTCTAAAAATTCAACTTATCTGATCATATGAACATCTCGACAAATCATTTAGTTCTATATAAACAAATGTAGAGGGGCTTTTTGGTCATTTGTTTGTGAGTTGTTAATGGATCGAGCTAAAAGGTTTCTTAAAAAGTGACAAAATTTGATTGGGTTTGATACATATCTTATTGATTAAGACAAATAAACCTTTTTTTTTTTGTTTCTAACCCTACAAAATATAAATAATTGAAAGGATAGAATTCCCATTTTACCCTTAATTTATGTGTATTTGATTGATGATTATACTCGTTGAACAGTTCTTTCGCTTTTCAATGATTAATCTGACTCCGTTCTTTCACTGTCTCAAACCGATCTTCAACTGGTCTCTACCTAACGTCAAACGATCTTCAATCAGTCATGATATGACCATTTCATGATGGATTAAAGTAAAAAACGTTCTAATAGTTTTTTTTAACACAATCAAATATCATGTTTGTATTAAGGACTTGACCATCGATAAAGTAAAAATAAATAGTTATATTATAACAACGAACAAATCTCGATGACGAAATCTTCTTTATAATATTACTCAATAATTGAGAAATTATAATTATTTAATCAAATAAGAAATTATGGATGAAATTTTCTATAAAAAGAAAAAAAAAACATAGAAAATCCTTTTCTTCCATCGTAAAGGATTCTTCAATAATTGAGAGACGAAGTCAAATAAATGAGAAATAATTTCTCAATCATTTCATCAACAATTAATTGTTGGTTTGGTTAAAAGTAGGTTTGAATTTGTAGCGTTTGATTCTCGAGATTTGGTGTTGATGTCTATTTCATCCATAAAATTTTTAAAAAGACGTTTTAGAAAAGAACTCTCGGATGTATAAATATACCCATTTTGCAAAACATGAAAGATGAAAGCTTCATAAATGTTCCAGTGAACGTCGTGATATTTCTCTCCTATACGAAAAACGAGAGTGGTGAGTTCGAATGGCGTCACCGTGGAAACAAGTAGAAAATTTGTGAGATCCCACATTGGTTGGAGAGGAGAACGAAACATTTTTTATAAGAGTGTAGAAACTTCTCCCTCATGTTTTAAAACCGTAAGGCTGATGACGATACGTAACAAGAGTGGTGAGCTTGAGCTGTTACAAATGCTATCAGAGCAAGTCATCGGATGGTACGAGACACTCGTCGAAGTAGAACTAGACCCTCTCCATAATAAACACATTTAAAACGTAAAGCTAACAGCAATATATAACAAGCTAAACCAGACAATATCTATTAACGATGAACTTGAGCTATCACACACTATATCACCGGTTATGTTGATGACGTGGAATCCATCACAATTGTTTATGTTAAACGCATTAATATATGGGCCTAAACAATGAAAAATGGCCTAGATGTTTATTTAGCCCAATTAGTATATATATATATATATATATATATATATATGTATAAAAGCTTACGAAATATATCGATTTATTGGTAAAAATTAGCGGTGGGGAATCCGATCCCGTAAATTAATCCCCGTAAAAATAAATGAAGAATTTCGCATATATGAGGAATAAAATAGGTGGCAAGATGAGGACGAAGAAGGTTTCCCGATCCCTGCCCCGTAAATATCTATAAACATAAGTTAATACAAAGAGATTTGATTAGTCGAATCCGATCTAATTTTTAAAAATTTTATTGAAGGAATATTTGTTTTGTTAAAATGAGATTTGATTAAAGTTTTAATTTTTAATAATTTTAGTAATAAAATAAATTAGGTATTTATTTCTATTTTAGATAATTAAGTTAAAAATAAAGGTATTGATTTAGACGTTGGATTCTAATATAGATAAGTTCATGTTTGATTATTATTTAATAAATTTATTTTGGCATCAAATAAAAAAGAATAAAATAAAAACTTTTTTAATATAACTAATTAAATATTGTTTATTATTTATTATACTAATTTTATTTCTTTTGTTACTTTAAATATAATTAATTTAGATTTAATATTTAGAAGAATAAAATGAAATACGATAAAAAGAGCCCATCAAAGTCATAAAAGCACGAGAAAAGGAATCTCGAGCAAGCCGATCTCTAATACAACCTTGCCTTCTTCTCCTCGTCCTCCTCAAAGATCTTTGTCTCCTCGAGCTATGTCGATGAGTTCTTGCAATGTCTCAATGGCCGAGCATAGTAACGAAGAGGAGTTGTTAGTGGAATCCGAGATGAGTAGGAGGTTTCTCGAAGAACATAAGAAATATATCTCCATTGGAGCTTTAAAGAAGGATATGATAGCTTTTGATGGTAGCAGCGGAGGCCAACCTTACACCAAAACCGAAAACTGTGCTCCCCCACCTCCTAATCCTTACAATCGAGGCTGCTCTAAAATATCTCGTTGTAGGTCTGATGATTGATGGGATGAACAATCCTTAGTACGAGTATACTTGGCAAAATTTTTCACTTTTTTAGCTTCTTTGCTCTCTCATTTTCGTTCTCGTGGGCCGATTGTAGTGATTTTCTTTTGAATAATGGAATTTTCATCTTTGTTTGTGGTTTTTTTTGGAAAATAACATAAGTGAGATGTTCATATGACTTGATGTCTCGAGCAACCTGGCTGACTAACCAATTCAAATGGTAAGGGTCGGGTTGGATTAAAAAAATTTCGGTTTAGATTAGGATGAATTTTTTAAAAACTAAAAAGAAAATAGTTTTGGTCGGGAGTTTGATTTTTTTTTTTTTTTTTTTTTTTTTTTTTTTTTTTTTTTTTTTTTTTTTTTTTTTTTTTTTTTTTTTTTTTTTTTTTTTTGTATTTAGTCAACTCGACTGTAATACACTGTGACGTATGAATCTTTGATATTTGAGTTTTATTGTAACGACCCAGATTCACCGCTAGCAAATATTATCCTCTCCCTTCACCGCTAGCAGATATTGTTCTCTCCCTTTCGAGCTTCACCTCAAGGCTTTAAAACGCGTGTGCTAGGGGAAGTTCCACACCCTTATAAATAGTTCTCCTCCCCAACCAATGTGGGACATCACAATCCACCCCTGGAGGGCCCAGCGAGGACGACCCAAATCCACCGCTAGTAGATATTGTTCTCTTTGGGCTTTCCCTTTCGAGCTTCCCCTCAACGCTTTAAAAACCGTCTCCTAGGGGAAGGTTTCCACACCCTTATAAATGGTGGTTTGTTCTCCTCCCCAACCAATGTGGGACATCACATTTATATAACATATATCGTGAATAAATATGATTTTTTTAAATAATTAAAAAAAATGAAAAATCCAACAACAAAATCGAACCCGCGATTATTCCAATCATCAATTCAACTAAACAAAATCGAACCCGCGATTATTCCAATCATCAATTCAACTAATCTAAAATTTCAGTTAACATATCGAGAATAAATAAATAAAAACTGATCAACCAGTGAGTTAGTTGGCTTGAACTCTATTCAGTTTGTATATAAAATTTGGGTTGAATTTGACTATAACCCATTTGCGGTAAGGCCACGCTCTTTATGGAAAGTTCAAAATTGATCCCTCATCTTGAGTTCACATGCTTTGATGGGATGATTTTTACGAACATATTTCAATCCCGAACTTTATTTCCTGAGTGACCTGCTAGTGATTCATCATTTACATTTGCTCAACTTCCTTCAACCCTTTGATGAAAACCCTAGTTTCTCGAACCCTACAGACCTCAAATCCCTCCCCGTATCTGTGTGAATGGTCTCCAAGTGTTTGAAAGCGGGACTCTAGAGCTCCATAAATGATGAGATATATACAAAAGAAAAAGATTAACTATCTCGAATTTCGTATATCTCTTTGTTTGTGTCATTCTTATCAATTTCCCAACTCAAACCAACTTACTCGAACTCAGAAATGAAAGCTCTCTTCTGCCATGGACCGCCAGTGTAGCGACCGGCGATGGCAACGAACTCTTCGTTAAGCTAGAAAATTCACCTCCTCACTCACTCACTCAGGCGACGGTGACGGCGACGGCAATGGCGACGACTCCAGTATAACTACGACTACAAAAACGACAGCAACAGATAGCATACAAAATGTACCATCTTTAAGCCTTCTTGTGATTTAAACATGTGCTTCCTCAATCATATTTTGTTATTTGGTAAATTTCGAGTAGTTTGAGCAAACCGTCTCAAAACCCTTGAGAGCATCACAATACTCAAAACACGACAATTTAAGCATGTGATCGTGCAATAATAATATTAAGAAGTTATTTATACCAACAAGTTGTACCTTATTTTCCGGTGGCTCAGTCATAAGAATTTTACGGTGAAGAATGTTTTGTTTGAA